CAGATTTTAGTAGGAAACAAAAGTTAAGCTGTACTCATAACACATTGAACTTAAAAGCAGCCAAGAGCAATGAATTTTCAGTTTCTTTCCATATATTTAGAGAAAAAAAACAACAATGCTTTGATTCTTCAAAGCCAGAAAATGGCTCAAACACTGAGAGCAGTTCCCTGCATTCAATTTCCTTACATTGATTTGTTTAAAGCATAGGAGGAATTTTAGAAATCATCACACTGGTGACTTGCAATATAGCATCGTATATAATAAAAGGCTAATATGCAAATAGATGAAACAGTGGAACAACCGGTCACTATGATATGCGCTGACCACCAGGGGGCATACATGGAACTTGGCAGGCATCGGCAGCAGGTGACAGAGTGCAGAATATGGCGGGTGTCAGGTGTGGCAGGATGGTGGAACAACTGAACAGGAGTGCCAGACCAAGGCAGGGTGCCGGTAACTGTCATCGGAGTGAGCCTCTAGTGGTTACTGAAAATTCTTTTCTCCTGCACTTCGTGGTCCTGCCCAGTGCTCACACCTGCTCACACCTGCTGCTGGCACTAGCCCCACTCCCACCTGTTGCTGGCACTGGAGATGCCACTTGCACCTGCTGCCGGCGCCCAGCATCTGTTCTGATCACTCGGCACCATCAGCAGGTGTGAGCGACGGCTGTCAGCTCCCATCACCCCTGAGGGCTTCTTCACCTCCCCCTGCTCCTGAGGGGAGACCCACCACTGTGCCCACCACAGCCTCGCAGCCCACAGTTCCTTTCAAGGTGCACAAATTTGTGCACTGGGCCCCTAGTTTAATATAAGAATTCATTCCTATACTTTTACTTTGAAGTATAACCTTATTGTGTATTAATTACAACACTAATTACAACACTAATTTCCACCTACCCTATTTGGAAGAGGTAGGAGTGTTGTTTGGCTCACCAGCTCCTTAGCAAAGTATTTTCTCAGATAAAAATTAATAGTTGAAACTTGTCATCAAAAAATAACACTTCTCAGAGCAAGTTTTGTTTTACAGAAGAAATCACTAAAGTTATCTTTCAAAGCAAATTTATATGGCTGATGATGCAACTAACTTTTGACAATCATGTATGTCTAAAAATGTATATGGATATGTGAGCATGTTTCTTTTTTTCTATTTGCATCATGACTAGCCTTCCAAGACATTTTAATTAGTCTTTGTTGAATTATGTCTTTTACAAAATAAGCTAATCTCATAATAGCTTCCTTACTTAACCCTCAATGGCCAGGGTCCTGGGGCTCCCTAGAACTCATAATAAAAATGTGCAATTAATTTGTGGATTTCCCAGCACTCATAACAAATGCTGGAAACAAAATTACCCTCAATATGTACTTATTTCAAAGACCTATTTCACAAATTTTCTGGGAATATAAATTCTAAACCTGACATTACCATTTAAATGATTCTAATTTTTCTCAGACAAAAATATTTTTGAGGGGCTTGATGGGGGACCTGAGGCTGCACCCCCTGCCCAGCAGGGCTTAACGGAGGTGAGGCCGGCTGGGTCTGGGTCTCACGTGATTTCGAGGTGCACGCGGGTAGGCGGGGACTTGACTCTGGGTCCCATGGCATGCCCCAGACTCTGACAGGAGGAAGATTTTCATATACATTTTACATATTTTCTTTCATCTCTGACACTTCTATTATATAGAGAAAGTGCAAATAGCAATATTAAAATATTTGCTCTAATTAATTCCCTTTTAATGTGCACAATTTTGTGCACCAGGCCACTAGTTATATATAATAGTTTATGTGATAAAATTAACATTTTTGTAACATATGCTTTAATAAAAATAATTTATTTTATGGAATTTATTTCAATTTTTAAAAACAGTACATAAGTTCATGATTTATTTCCAACTTTTCTTTGAGAATTTAAATCACAATTTTGGTTGCCTCTACTTCAATAGTCTGAAGTTTCTCTAAATTAAAACTAATTTTGAAAAATGATCAAAGAACTACAAAGAAGCAAGAAAGGTTAATTTGGTATTATTATCAATAGAACACAAATTATATGAAAATTGGTCATCTACTTATATAAAAACCCTGGGTGTAACATCACGTCCCGAAGCTCGACCAACTGGAAGGAAGTCAGTCCTGCAGGGGTCCTCTTGGAAATGGCTGCGCCCTCCCCCAGCTGTTTCCCGGAGGGTGAGGTTTCAGGCAGGAACCCAGCCTCAGGGTGAGGTTTCAGGCAGGAACCCGCCCTCGAAGCAGAGTGTGGAAGTACTGAGTCCTGGGTTGCCTTGCCAAGGGCTGTGCCCTCCCCAAGCTGTTTCCCGTGAGGCCTGAGGGAAGAACCCACCCTCGGAGCACCAGGAGTGCCCAGCAGCAGTCAGTCCTGGGTTGCTGAGGCAGAGGCCACAGCGTGGTAGAACTCTGGGTCTGGCCCAACAGGGGCCGTGGCCGGCTTTCAAACCAGACCCTGACAGTAGGGAGGAGGCAGCCCCATTCCTCACAGAATCTGCTGTTGGATAGCTTGCTGTCAGTGGCCTGCCAGCCAGGAAC